TGAGTTACCGAAAAGGAAGGTGCACCTTGTTAGTATAGGTAGTGAATATCAATTCTTTTAAGTCTTTCTTGACCATTCTTCTATGATCTCAAGATACCTCTCATCCGTATATGGCATTGGTTCATTAATGTACCTCTCATCTCTACTCGAATGTCACATTATGGGAGTTCAAACCAAAGAAAAAGTGGTTAAATGCGCATTGGGCTTAGGCTTTTAAAAAAAAATTAAAAATGATTTATTAAAATTAATAAATATTATTATTATATATAAACTATAAAAATTAATAAAATATTAAATGTGGCGAGGTCAGGGATCCCGATTAAGATCCCTAATTTGACTCCGTCCTCGATCAAATCGAGGATTCCCCGACCCGACCGGGTCGGGTACCTGCTGGGATTGAGTCCCACAGAGTTTTTTGTCATCCCTATCTTAGGGCATATCAAGTATATATCACACATACATTAATAATAAATCAATAAATAGTAAATCATATAATCATATAAGAAGTTATATTATCAAAGGTGTATTAAGTATATATCAGTGTTATATTAGTACTACGAGTTACGAGGGTAAATTTGATATTTTATTATTTAGATCTCCGTTTTTTCTAAAAATTTTACTATATTTGCAAAACTAAAATGTAGGTGCTTAAATTTTTTATTTCCTTAAATTATTTTGCTATATTTGTAATGGGAGATGAAACCCAAATCATACACTAAAAAATGTAATCACTAACAATCAACTCAAGATAAACCTTGCAAATTAAATGTTACTTTTGAAACCTCAATAACCAAAAAGCATAATTTGCCCAAAAATTAGATAACATCAATGTTTCCTTAGGAGGAGCTTGTCTTAAAAAGATAACTCCCCCATCTTTCTATCATCTCAACCTATTTAATCTAATGATTTTTCCAAATAAATAATTTTAGCCTTTAAAATTTTCGAACTAATTTATTTACTCTCTCTCCTAATAACGAACAACTAATTGAAATGAATTCTTCAATCTATTTAGTAACAACCGACTAATTAAATCCTATTACCTACCTTAACATTTAGATAACAATGTCAATGACAAAAACTTATTAAAATCAAACAAAAACGTCAAAAGTGTAAACTAAAATATTTTTAAATTAAGAGACTAAATTTGTGATTAATAAAAAAAATCAACTAAATTCTCAAAAGTCAAAAAAGTAAAGAGAGATCACAATATTTATTATTATTTTCTCCTTGTCAATTTATATTCACTAGGAAAAAACAAAAGAAAAACACAAAAAGAATGTTTGCCACTCGGGCCCCACTACATCGCCGTATTTTCCGACTTTGTGAGAATTAAAAAAGTTGAAAAAAAAGACTTTCTTTTTTCCAATTTCCTAAATTTCTAATCAAAGAGCTGTTGCTGTAAAAAACTTATATTTTCTTCGGTCCACAAACTCTCTAATGATGAGTCCACTCCGTCTCCGTCCCACCACCCCGCCCCGAACCCGTCTTCCCAACCCGACCCGCAAACTTCCCCTGCGGTTACGTTCGACGAGTCGGAAGATGTCGCCGACATGTCGGTGAGGATGTCGTTGTTGTTGTTGTTCGGGTTTGCCCACGTGGACTCGGTATTAGTTGTCGATGCTGACGTGGAGCTCTCAGCCATCAGCGGCGGAGACTCACCAGAAGCGGCTGTGATCCGCTCCACCAGGCGGGGGATCCAGACAAGTCTCATGGCGTCTCGAAAACGCTGGCTGTTAACTTCGCAGTTGAGCTGTTTGGCTTGCTTTTGAACTCGAGTTCTCCAGTAGTTCTTTATCTCGTTGTCCGTTCTTCCCGGAAGAAATTGAGCTATTTTTGACCATCTAAAAAAGAAAGATCCCACCAAAACATTTAATATCACAACCCTTTCATAACATATATTTTAGTCTCTGATGTTTATAAAAAAACTCACCGATTGCCCCAAAGGGAATGGAGTTCAAGAATGAGCAGTTGTTCTTGGAGAGTAATATTCCCACGGCGAACATTGGGACGAAGATAATTAAGCCATCTCAATCTACAGCTCTTTCCGGTTCTCCTCAACCCTTTAAAAGCCAGAAGAAATAAACTATTTGTTACTTGAAGTATCTAAATATTGTTTTGATAAAGAATTCGAAGAGAGAACTCAATAAGTTGAAAACGATGGGGTACGTACCGGTGGAGCAGGCGACGGAGTTCCAGTGGCCGTTGCCGTGGAGGGTGACGTAATTGAAGAGCACAGAATCTTCTTCCGGCGTCCATGGCCCTTTCTTCACCTCCATGAAATATTGTTAGAGAGTATGTCTGGAAATGGGGGATCTCAACAAGAACAAAACACAGAGACTAGATTTCAGTGGATGGTTTTATTTTGGGGAGAATCAAAATGGCTAATATATATAAAGAGAGAGGAGGGGAAAAAAAACAAGGGAAAATTGAAGCAGCGTGTTTTGGGATTTGAGGCAAGTTGAACATGGGGGATTTAAATTTTAAATTGCGTTTTAAATTTTAATAATCGTTTTTTTTTTCTTTTTATTTATTCTAATTTTGGAGCAAGTGGGGTGTGGTGTGGTGTGGTGTGAGAGAGTCCAAATTTTGGGCATTTAAAAAAGGGGGTTTTCTGGGAGTTGACGTTGACTTCTTCTTCTATTTAGACTCAAATATATCCTTAAAATAAACAACACTACAAAGAGACAGAGAGAGGATGGCAATACCGACAAGATTGAGAAATGTTTTTTTAGTTTAGTTTTGTAGATGAGAGTTTCTCACACGTCTTCTTGTACTAATCCTAATCCTCAATTCTTTTTGTTTCTTGGTTCAAATATGATTGTTACCGCGTGCTAATTACTTAAGCTATACTTACATTTAATGGTAATTAAGAAATATATTAGATTAATTTTACACTTTTATAGAGTTGTTTGTGAGGTAAAATCAAGTAGGACATGTGTACTCTCTCCTGCTAAGATACATGTCTTTGGAAGCAGAACTCAACTCGGCTTCGATTTGGGGAGACTTCTGACTGGTGTTAAATCTGTTCAGCAGAAGATGATTCTATTTGAGATCTTCTAATTAATTGTTGGCAAAAAAAACCTTTTAAATAACATGTACAATCGCCAGAGTGACAAAGTAACACTTCTCCATGCTCCCCTTAGGTAGAGTCCCACTTTTTTAAAAGTACACAATCTTTTGGATTCAAACTAGATTCGACTTAACATCGGCTCAGACTATGTTTTTCTATCTTAAGCTTTGATCTGTAATGTTGGAAATATATTAGGGAAATATAATTTATGAAATAATAAATACAAACATTTAATTTAATAAAACAATAACAAAATATATACATAAGAAAAGCCTGTAAATTTTAGATTGAGGTACGTTCATAACCGTTGTCTGTAAAGAAGATGTGCCTCCACTGCGTTGAGTTTTTTGGCACTCCACTCCAATGATACAACAATCTTTAATTTAAAGACTTTGTGTAACAACTAAGTTCTCTTACAAATCCCCAATTACTTGTATGCTCAAAATCATAATATTAAAAACAAACTCTTTGTATTTTACACAAAACAACTTGCGAGAAACTCTACAATAACATACTGTGTATCTTAGACTGATACCCATTTTATATATAATGAAGCACTCCTATTATTAGGTAGTCTAAGTTTAACAAGTATGCAATCTGTCCCTCCTATTTATTAGCAAGAGTGGACTGGCCAAGTTAAATGAGTAAACAAAATAATAAATATAAAATCTTTAAATTTTCCAACATGTACATGATCGAGTATCACACAGCTGCGAGAGGTTGTATCTGTAGGTGTCGGCAGAGCCTACGTTCAAAGTCCATGTCAGATATCTTGTTGACATGTTACCTTGCTAGTATCACGTATCAACCAGAGTAATAATTAAGTTTATAAACTTTAGTGGGCAGCGATTTAGAATTTTTAAGTTAAAATTTATAAGGATTTAATTCATGAATGTTAATATGTAACAATAGAGTTTTTTTTTTCTTTTGAGTTTGATAATTGTATAGTGAAGATCGAATCATTGATCTCTGAGATGGTAATTGATGCATTATCCATTGAAATATGCTTGAATTGACTATATCAATCTAATTTTGGTTGAAATATTCATATATGAATTAAATTTAYCAAATTCATCAACTTTAAATTTTTGGATCGAGGGGTGGTTTATTCATTTTAATATAGTATCAGAGCGAGAGGTCCAGAACTTTTTCGTTCGTGGACGACTCTTCTCTATTTTCTTATTTCAAACCATTATTATTAGATTTCTTATGAATTTAACTTCAGTCTTAATAAATATCAAACGTTTTATTTTTCCTTCCCGCCGCTCTGTTACTGGTGGGAATTGGGACAATTTATTTTTTCTTTTTCCCATTTAGAAGTAATTATTAATTATTATTTGTATGGGGGCTTACCGCTTTCCGCTGCTATTTTAAAAAAGCCACGTGAGGATGATGCAATTAGGAAAACTTTTTATTTTTATTCATATGTGCTCCACTTCACAACCTAATTTTATTTTATTAGTGATAATAACGAGCAGGTCGAGAATGCCCTCCCCATCTCTAGCCCTGTAGGGATTTTCAATATCCATATCCTGGTCCCATTCCTTGATTTGAAGGGTTATATTGACATTTGACGATCACCTTTCTAGTTTCTGGTCGGCAAATATTTTCTTTTAAAGACTATATATAGACCTTATTCGCTTTTACTATGTAATCAGATTTCGTGATTAAACGAAAAGTTGTACTTTTGCTGTGCAAAAGTTTAGAATTTATTTTGTCTTCGTCATTCTTGAATTCTTGAGTTTTAGATTTACATATTATAATAATGTCATTTAATRCCCTTATCAAACTATTGGGTGTAGAATATAATTCGAATCTTGAGTTTAAGAACAAGTTTGTTCTACTATTGATATTGATTATCAAGTAATTCGTTCTAGCTAATCTAAATGAATTTGAAGTTTTAGCATTTTAAATATATACAATCTACACTAGGTTATTTATCCACTATACTCTCCTTAACAAATAGTTTTTAATGATTAACTACCATAACCTTTCCTTAAGAATTAATGTGTTKTCCATGAATGTATGTGCGTATATAAAGGACATGTATGAAATTAATGGCTTATATTAATAAATTGGTTAAGATTACAAGCAAATGAAAAGTTTTGTTATTTYGTTAATAATAAATGGATAACATSACTTCAGGTATGTATATTTATGCACTTATGTGTGAGTATAAATTGAATAAAACAAAATATTTAGCATAATGAACTTAAAAATTAATGTATTTGTTTTTCAAGTCAACCATCATTTAAAAGAAAAATGGGCAATTGCAAACAAAGTCCATTTTTCTCTCCTTAATTCAAATTCGTTTTCTCTTTTTCTTTTTCTTTTTCTTTTTCCTTTTTTTTTTAGAAAATTTGACTTGGTTTCTTGTCTCACTATTTAACTCCACTAAACCCTATATCTAGAAAGACTCTCTTGTTTGCTAAAAATGAAGATGTCTTTTAACCACCTCAATTCACCAATCGAAAAGTTCAACAATTTAATAATAGTATAAAAATGCACATTTTAAATAAAATTAAAAAAATAAATATACAAAATCTCTAGATTACTTATTACTTTCAACCAATCATTTAATAAAAATAACCTACAACAATTTTTACTAAAGTATAAACAAGGATATTTTTTTTAAATAAAGATAGGACATGAGAGGATTTAAATTAGAAAAAAATTCGTCAAATTTTGGGTGGGTCCCACAGAGGAAAGATTCTATCTTTAGTAGTGTGATTAAAATGAGAATTTTTCTAGTATTACTACATTTTTTATTGATATTTTGACATATCATTGAGTGTTGTGTTCTTTGATTTCATGGGTCTATATTATATTAAATGTTGATCAGTTGGCCAATGTTGGGAGTAGTAGGAGAAATTTTCCCTACTCCAACTGTATAAATTTTCTCCATTCATAATCATTTTGGGATGACTTAGTTGTCCATAAAAGTCAACGAAAATAGTAAAGAATTTGGAGGGGATGAGTTCAAATCATGGTAGTCACCTACCTAGGTTTAATATCCTACCAGATAAACAAATAAATATAATAAAGTGAGAGGAAAAAAAAATCTCCATTAAAATATTATTACGTTGATATGGTGGAAGTCCACGTAGGATGGGGAAGGACCGAGTCAAAGAGTCTAATTTGCTGACTGTTTCCTTAGTTTCTTTTTTGGTCAACGATAGAAGCTTCTGTGAGCGGCCAGTCAAACATCTGAATGTGAAAGTTGAAATGTGAATGGTATGAGACTTAGTGGAATTTATTTTAATTAAATTAGACTTTTTTTAGTATTTATTATACACAAAAAAAGCAAAAAATAAAAAATAACTATTAATGTATTTTCACTCTTTTATTTTTCTTTGCCCTTCTAGAATCAATATCTATCTATTTTTATATTTAATTATTAGCAACCCTATCGACTCCATTTTTGACTAATTTTCTATAGGGTTTAGAAAAATTGTTAAAGGGAATTTAGAATTTCCAAATAAAACCTCTAGGTTTTAGGATATTTTGGATGGTTTGATTTGTTGACGTGTTGTTGAGATCGTTATAATATATGGATATAGCTCAAATTCTTGAGTACAAAGTTAAAACATTTATATATTTTTTTATATTTAAATAATATTTTAGTAGTACTTTTAAAGTTAGGTTCATTTCAGTCCTATAATTTAAAAAACATTAAACATTTATTTTGGTTGGTGTAATTTTAACTTTGGTTCATTTTAGTATCTCCACTTTTCGAAATGTCTAATTTGATTGTTGTACTTATAAAAATGGACCATTTTAGTCTTTCATTTTGATTTTTATCTCATTTCTTTCCATCATAATTTTAGTATTACACTTTACTCATTAATTTCTTGAAAGGTTAAATTTGTGTTAAAGGGTTTCTATATTGTATAAAATTTGGGTTCAGATTTTGCAAATAGGGACCAACTTTGACCACTCTTTTAAAATACACGAACTAAAAGTAAACAATATTTTAAAGTACAAGAACAATATTTAAAAGTACAAGGATCAAAATAAACAGAAGTTGAAAGTATAAGAATCAAAATGAAGGTTTTGAAAGTACAACTACCAAAGTATTATTTGAATCTCTACCTCTTCATTTGTGATGTATTTTTTTAGAAAAATGTTCAAATCTCATTTTAATCTCTAAAATTTTAAGATTATTTCATTTTATCCAATTTAACTTCGAACTATCTTGGTAGGTGAACTTTTAAATTTATGTTATTTCTGTTTTGAACTTTTGAAATATCTCTATTTTAGGCCTAAACTAAAAGAAAAAAAAAATTAATTTTTGTCTTTTACCATTCTTTTGTTTTCAACTAATGGATATAATATAGGCAGCTTGAAGCATGTACATTGATGTGCTAA